GCATAAAGCAAATTAAAGATGACATTCAAAGTTCCAAGTTGGAGAATTATAAGACTTTTGAACAGGCATTTTGAATCAAAGGAAAGAAGACTTGATTGTGTACATTCATCTGTAAGGCTCTGAGATATCCAAAGAGGATAGAAAGAGTCAAGCACTGAGGGCAGTGGGGGTCGTACAACAAATGTGCATAGAACTAAAACAGAAGACCCAACTTGGAAATTATTATGAGTGAAAGGACTGAAAAAGGAAACGGACTAGACATACTTTTGTCAATGTAGCACTATTAGAAAAGCGTTTTGGTGGTTCTGTTTTTGTTGTTGTTGTTTTTGGGCCACACCTGGTGATGCTCAGGGCTTACTCCTGGATCTGCACTCAGGGATCATTCCTGGCAGACTGGGGAGACCATATGGGATGCCAGAGACTGAACCCATGTCAGTCATGTACAAGACAAGTTCTGTGCCCACTGTGCTATCACTCGAGTCCCCTATTAAGAGACCTGTCTAAGGAAGCTAAAGAAAAAAATGAAAGAATTTGAAAAAAAATACTTGGGTTCCTTTTACAAGAACTTGTGTTCTTTATACAAGAAATTATGGTACATCTACACAATGAAATAGTACGCAGCTGTTATGAAAAATGAAATTTGTCTATAAATGGGTGGATGTGGAGAGTATCATTCTGAATGAAGAGTCAGAAGAAAAGAGACAGATAAAAAATTACTGCATTCATTTGTGGAATATAAAAAATACACTATAAGACTAATATTTAGGGCCAGGGAAAACAGAGACCAGGAGGACTTGTCAATGGTTGGAAACTGCCAGAAGTATGTGGCAGGTGGAGGGCAGTTAGGATACAGAAGAACCAGTATGACTGTAGTAGCTGAAAATGACCACTCTGGAAAAGGAGTGAGTGTTGAAAGTATGTAAAGGGATAGACATGCTAACTTTACAGTATCTATATTACAATCCATAATGTCCAAAGGGGCGGGGGGAGACAGACAGAAAGACAGACAGACAGACAGACAGACAGGCAGGCAGACAGACAGAGAAGGGCCTGCCATAGAGGGCATAGGAGTGGGGCAGGACGTAAGGGACATTGGTAGTGAGAAATGTACATTGGTGAAGAAATGGGTATCGGAACATAACTTAAATTCTATCATGAACTACTTTACAACTATGTTTTTCACTGTGATTCAATTAAAAAATAAATAGAATATAAAAAATTAGCAAAATAGTTTTAGTGGTGATATGAGTGAAAACAATTTGGTCTACCCTTGATCATTTGATCTAAAATTTTCATGTGTAAAATGAGTGTGTAAACTTAGAATATTATTTCTAAGGTTTCTCTCATCCTCAAAATAATTTGGTGGAGGAAATGGACTCTGTGAAGGGACTGGTGTTGAAACATTGAATGCCTGAAAGCCAGTCATGAATAACTTTGTAGTTTCAAGGCGACTAAATGACACTTAAAAAAAAAATACATGGGTTCAAGCTTTGGCTCTCCTATAATTACTACTGAGACTTTGAGAAAGTTAAACCCTCTGAACCAAATGTAAAATAGGGGTGGCAATAAAAAGATGGATTTCACAGGGTTAAGTGTAAACTGAAATATAGATATTATTAGTATTATGAATAAGGTACTCTATAAGTTTTCTCATGAGCTTATTGAAAATAGAGATTCCCTAAAAATACTTAATAATATATTTAAAAAAAAACAAGCAAAAAAAAAAAGTCAAGGCACCAGAATCTGAGAATCTGAGTTAGAGTTTATTACTGGAAATATTAAATATACCACAGAAAAAGTCAAGATAGATGCATTTTCCTGATGTAAAACAAAATGTAAAAGGTTTATTATTCATGAAGATATATATTAAATGGCTGAAATAAAAAGACTAATAAAACACATCTAACAAATTATTTATATATATAATATATACTAGGAATTTTATTTGGGTGATACTCAATGATACTTGGGAGTCCAAATATATTACCTTTTTGAAATAAACATAATTAGACACCCCAGCAGCCTTTAGAGCTTTTGAGTTCCATAGAGACAGATGCCTATTTCCTCTGCTCAGTGAGAAGCGTCTCAGTTTTCCAGAACTCAGGGACTTTCACATCCTGGCTTCAAACCCATGACTTCATTCCCACCGCAACTAACTACACAACCCCAGAAGTTGGAACATGTATTCATTTTAAGGGTATTTTTCCCCTCTGGAGTTTCCAGCACTCCAAATTGTTTGGCACTAGAGTATCCAAACTTGTCTCTCAAACATAAGTACAGACAGCAACAGAGTAAAGCAACTCTTAGCAGTAAAGCTATAGGATAAATGGCATTTTAAATCATGTTTATTTGCACCGATAAAGATGACTTCAGCTCACTGCTATCTGGAAACAGTAATAAATATTTATAAGGTGCTCTATAGTGGTGTTCAAAACACTGCACTGCTCTCAAAGACTACAATTTCAGGATAGAGTAAAATGAGCAAGATAAGAAGAAACATGAACTTCAGATTACATCACCAGTGCACTTTGTCTAAAGTAGATACAAGTACTATTTTCAATTTCTACTTTTTTTGGAGACAACTATTGCATTGCTAAAAATGAAACTATCCTTTGTTTGGAGAAATATTCTTATACTATACCCATGAGCCTAGAAATGGATATCCAGAAATGATAGTGAAGTTCACTTGTCTTGCTTGTCTCTTACCACTTATAGCTAGAAAGGTATTCCACTAGCAGAAAAGGCATTTTAGGATTTTTTTGGGGGGAGGGGGGCATGTGGGGGCTATCCTACCCATTGTGCTAAATTATCTCCTGACTCTGTGCCCAGGGATAACTCCTGGCAGTGCTCAGGAGACCATTATGTGATTCAGGGATCGAATCTGGTTAGCTGTGTGCAAGAAAAGCACCGTATCCATTGCACTCAGACTCATGGGCTTATTTTTTTGAATTTAAAATCTGTTCTAAAAGTCCCTATTATTCTGTAAAGAACCCTTAGAGCAGGGATATTTTTTTTAAAAAAAAGCAAAAAAGAAAAGCTTTACAAAGCTTTAAAAAGAAATTTGTATTGTTCAATGCTGTAACAATGTCTCTTTAGCAATCAGAGATATAGCATTGTTGAAGGAATCAAGAAAAGTTAAAAATGCTACTTTTCAACTGATGCCTACAAATCATGCATACATGAAAATGGGAGAAATCTGCCTGGTATCCCAATTAACAGATCCAAGTGTCCATTTTATAGTTGATTTTGTATGTTTGTGGTTTACACTTACTCCTCGCTCTGGGATCACTCAGAAATCACTCAGGGATCACTCTTGGTGGGGCTCTGGGGACCATATGGGGGGCCTGGCTCAAACCCAAGTGGGCTGCGTGCAAGGCAAGGCAACCACTCTACCCACTGTACTATCTCTTCAGGCCCTGGAAAAGCAGTTTTTTTTAACAAGCAATAAAAAACAAATAAGGCTGTTGGTTTCCCATTTTTTCCTTTCTTACTGAAATAATTTTTCTTTTCAACCATGTCTACTTAAGGAAAACCAATGGGATGATTTAAAAATCTACTGAATTTGAGAAGAAACTTTCACAAGGTATTCTAGATTCTAGCCTGAGGGTCCCACTGGTATTAGCGGGGGGCATCATTTTCAGCACTGGGTTTATTTTGTAGAAGCCCTTGCTCTCCAGTTCTAACCACCGAGACACCGTTTGGAACTGATAGGCTTGTGGCAACAGCTATTATGGCTGTGTGCTGCAAATATGCAGTCTCTCATCTCCCTTGTTACAATATCAAAGCTTCTAGAATTCAGTCCAATTACAGAATATGCTCTACTCCCTGAGGGTCAAATGCTGAAGTCAAACCAACCTCTCAACATGTGCTGCTGATTTGCCTCAAGACCTTGTTCTTGTATTTGCCCTTGATATTTCCCTATAAGAGAAATCTGCCTCTTTCAAGTGTGGCTTACTTAACATTTCACAGAACTTCCACGCAGCACCCCCCCCCCCCCCGACCTTTCCTACCGTACACACCAGTATGTAGTTGGCACTTGGCACATAACTGGCCTTATTCCTAATAAAATTTGCCTTGTGGAACCCTTATTCTAAATAACTGAAGGACTTTTGAATTACTGTAAATAATTGAAAGACTATTTCAAGGCATCCACATTAGAAACACGGCTCTACTGTCAGCTATTATGACGTGTCTCATTTATTTGGGACTGGAGAGATAGCCCAATGGGTAGGGAGTGTGTCTTGCATGAGGCCAACAGGGTTGGATCCCTAAACAGAGACAGGAGTAAGCCCCAAGTACCGCAGCATGGCTGCAAAAACAAAACAAAACAAAATCGCTCATTTGGATTATTAACATACTTTTCTTTTCTCATTTCATGGTTTCACCTGCTTCCCATTACTTTCTATCTTCACCTAAATCCTTTTTCTTGTCTGTTTTACGGGCCACATCTGGCTGTGCACAGGGCTTCTGCCTGGCTCAGTGCTCAGTCACTTCTGGCAATGCTTGGGGACGTGTGGCAGGCTGGGATTTGAACCCTGGTCAGCCGCATGTAAGGTAGTGTCCTGTAAGTTCCTAATTTTTTCTTCAAAATCCTTAATCATTTTCCAAGCCAATTATTCGGTTTTCTAATTCTTTTGGTCCTTTAACAAAAAGTAAATGAGTGAAAATTTAAGAATAAGCCATTAGTAGTATCAGACAATAGAAACAGATAATGCTTATATGATTTTAAAACAGAATAGGAATTAACTACTTTGTACATATTCTGTCTGTATATTTCTGCATATGTGTGCGTGAACAAAACTAAAAGACGTACGATACATTATGCAAAACTAAAATTTTGAAGATTCAAACTAAAAATTTAAATCTTTCAAGTATGTCAACTTTTAAAAAGGGTCTTGTAACTTTTACTTATATACTTTAATTCTATTACAGTGACTACATTTGGCATTTTCCATTTATAAAAATAAATTTATCAAAATATAGTAAAAAACAACACAACGGCAGATAGATAAGTACTTTAATAAATTGTTACATTCAGTGTCATTAGAAAATACTCTTGGACTCAAACTTCCATCATTTCTTTTACATGCTCTCTTCATCTCTCATTGCTAGAAGCTAGCCATTTAATAATTAAAAGAATTACTTACCTAGCTACCTGAGTACATGATTAAATATCCAAAATGAAATTCATAACTTCATTTTGTTGACAATTTATAATTTAACATTCTAATTTCATGCAAACCTGAAATTTTGTATCTTAAAACCTCTGAAGATTTAGAAGTGCATTTAAAGTAAAAACTGGACCTCAAATCATTATACTTCACAATAAACCAAGGCACATCATTTTTTAGACACTTATGTAGTTCAAATTTCACAACATATTGTCTTAAAAAAAAACCCTAAAGTCCTAACATCAGTATCAGTAACCTAATCTTTCATTGGTTACTAAGAAATTCACTGTTTATTGGTATTTTTTTAATGGGTCATACCTGCTGTGCTCAGGGCTTACTTCTGGCTCTGAACTCAGGGGTCATTCCTGGCTCATCTCAGGGACTGAATGCCAGTAGGTCACATGAAAGGGAAGTATCCTACCTACTGTACTATTGTTCCAGTCCCACTGGTCATATTTTATCAAGAAAAGTTTGGGGCCAGAGTGACAGTACATTGGTAGGTCATTTCCCTTGTACAAGGCTGATCTGAGTTTAACCCAGAGTACCTGATATGGTCCCCTGAGTCCACCAGGAGGAATCCCTGAGCACCACTGTGTGTGACCCAGAGCAAAAAAGAAAAAAAAGAATTAAATTAAGCGCTCACCCCCCAAGAAAATTATCTTGTTAAATCAACTTTGGTATGTGATAATTTTAATTAAGAATACTGAGCAAATTAAATTTATTCCTATTACTTCTTTTGATTTGCTGCCTATAAGCTTTTGGTACCAGTTTTCACTTCCTATCAAAAGAATAGTGAATGTGGTTATACAAGAGACTTGAAATTATGTTATTTAATCATAGTTAGGATTAGTTTTATTAATGATGTTAAGTATAATTTTATAAATTCATCAATTTACTTGCCTTTAATGATTTAAAATAATTAGATTTACCTTTTGGATTTCTTCTTAATTTTCTAAAAAAATATGGCAATTAACTATATATTATCCTTAAGGTTTTTTCATTTTTAATATATAACAGTAAAGAGTCAATTATATATTTATTATTATATATTTATTACTATAAGTTACTATATATTTAATACTCTTAGACTATCTTTTAAAATGATTTCAAACTATTTGCATGGCAAAGTTGTATAATACCATTTCTTTTTGCTCACTGATCTGGTTCTGAGATAAACATTTTCTTTTCTTTTCTTTTTTTTTGCTTTTTTGGTCACACCCGGCGATGCTCAGGGGTTATTCCTGGCTCTGCACTCAGGAATCACTCCTGGCGGTGCTCGGGGGACCATATGGGATGCTGGGGATTGAACCCAGGTCTGCATGTGCAAGGCAAACGCCCTACCGACTCTAGTATCACGCCGGCCTGAGACAAACATTTTTAAAGTTTCTTAGACTGTGTTCATAGAAGGGCAAAATCAAGATGCTACCTTTAAGAAGAATTCTTTCCAACATATTCAATGTTAGTGAGAAAGTAAAAAATCCCTAGTTTAATGGAGAACAACTTTGCGCAGAACAGACAAGGTCAATGTGAATGATTCTTAGTCTGCAGAGGAGGCTCCTGAGTTCTTCTCGCCAGAACCTGGGGGGCACCAGAGGGAGAAGCAGCCACTGCCAGCACAACCCCCAGAACACAGTGACTCTAAGGGAAGAGGAGCGAGACTCACTACCGGCAGCCCAGAGGAAATTTAAGGGAATTGAACGGTCACAGTCACGGTCCTCCTGTTGTTCATGGATTTGCTCGAGCGGGCCCACTAACGTCTCCATCATGAGACTTGTTGTTACTGTGTTTGGCATATCGAGTACGTCATGGGGAGCTTGCCAGGCTCTGCCGTGCAGGCGAGATACTCTCGGTAGCTTGCCGGGCTCTCTGAGAGGGGCGGAGGAATCGAACTCGGGTCGGCCATGTTGGCTGCATGCAAGGCAAATGCCCTACCGCTGTGCTATTGCTCCAGCCCAGGGAATTAAACAATTTAAAATAAAGATGAAATCCATTAAAATTGTGTTATTTCTCTAAGAAGCATTGGAGTGACTGGCCCAATGCTTACAAGGCACCCTGGAATTTAGATTTAAATCTCTACAAACGACTTTGTTATATGATTTCTCTTATTAGAAATTGGGTTTTGTGAGATAAAATCATGGTGTGCAACTGAAACAAATGCAGGGAGACCAGGACTCTCTTCCTAGAAGATCCGAGGTGATGTAATTTATGGAAGCATGAATTTGATGATTAAGTTGGAAAGCACACTTTGAAATTACCTTGAAAACCCAGTATAATGTGACACTGCAAAGCATCACCAGGATCAATTTCATCAGAGGATAAAGTGGCATTAGAAATTAATACTGAGACAAAATTAATTAGTCATTTGATTTAAAGATTGGGGTTCATTCCAATCCAGTGCTTGATTAACTGATGCGCAATGGCACGGCTTGGGGGCACAAAGAACGCCTGCTGCTTCCCTTTGGTCAGAACGTCCACGACCTGAAATGCACCACAATAAAACTTATTAGGATGTTTAACAATGTCTTACATACAATTCCTGTATTTACATATACTAAAAATATATGACTTTAATAGTGAATAGTAGGGTACTTTATTATTATTTTTTTAAATTTTTTGCTTTTTGGGTCACACCTGGTGATGTACAGGGGTTACTCCTGGCTCTGCACTCAGGAGTTACTCCTGGCAGTGATCAGGGGACCATATGGGATGTTGGGAATCGAACCTGGGTCGGCCGCATGCAAGGCAAACGCCCTACCTTCTGTGCTATCACTCCAGCCCCTTGTAGGGTACTTTATTACTGCATTCATAGCCTAGTGATTCAATTAAAAATATTTCAAGAAAACTTATACACTTCTCAAAAGAGTAAGAATAAAGTTTCCATATGATCCAGCAATTCTACTTCCTGGCATCTGTCCCCACTTCAAAATAAAGAAAATATTAATTTCAAAAAACATAAACACACTTATGTTAATTTCACTGCTAAGTAAAATAGCTAGGGTTGGAAAAAACCCAAATGCCCAAAGACATAAGAATGAATTAAAAATAATCTGTAGAATGTGGACATGATGGAATACTATGCAGCTCTAAGAAAATGAAATCATGCAGTTTGATGCAACTTCGGTGGTTTTAGAGTGTTATCATGTTAAGGAAACAATTCAGCTGGAGATGGACAAACCCCAGATGATTTTGTTAATCTGAGGCATTGAGGGAAAGAAAACACAGAAACAGGTACACAACAACAAATTCTTGTTTTGGGAGGACCAAGCAGTAGGGGTTACTGGTAGGTGGGAAGGAAAAGGAGGGCTAGGAGTATTGGGCACTTGGATGGTGGGAGGTGCAGTGACTGTGCATATCAAAGTCACAGACATAAACAGATTTATAGCCGTATTATCTAAGCTACAATAATGGTAAGTCGAAAACCAAACAAAAACAAACCCCAAATATGATCATAATATAGCAAAATGCATGTTTCATGTTTATTTTCAAAGTGAAAACCAACTTCTAAAATGGTTTATCTTTTCTAAAAGTTAGAAAAATTTCTACTTTTTAAGACTGAGCATAGAATTAAATTTAGAGTATGTTATTATGTTAGAATTAAATTTAGAGTATGTTATTATGGTAGAGTATGTTAGAGTATGTTATTATGGTAGAGTATGTTATTATGTTAGAATTAAATTTAGAGTATGTTATTATGGTAGATTGGTGCGCGTGGAATCTGTGGTGTTATTTGCACGGGGGCCATGCCCAGCAGTGTTCAGACCCTACTCCCGGCTTGGTACTCGGGTGGCTCCCTGCTGTGTCAGGGTGAAACCTGGTGTCGGGGCTAGAACCCAGGATTCCCACATACAGAGCCCCTGTGCCGGTATTCTGAGCCATTTCCCCGGCCCTAAGGATGATGTGCTCTTCAGCTTCTGTCTCGAAGACTTTGGCTCTGCCTAAGGTTTGTCTTATGCATTGATGCTCTAGGCTAGTTAGCTAAGTAGCTCTGTATTTTTTGCTGTACCAGGAAGGAATGAACCCAGGGCTTCATACATGCCAGGCATCCCTACTATTGCTACATGCTACATCTCTGGCCTTGTGTTGGCTTAGAGAGGGATGGGGTGGGGGTGGGTGTGTTTCAGCCACACCCAACTGTGCTCAGGGGCTACTCCTGGCTCTGTCACTGTTGGGGGACCATAGGAGTGCCAGGAATTCAAACCAGGGTTGATGAGATGCAAGATATCTTTTTTTTAAATAAATATTTATTTATTTATTCTTTTTTGGGTCACACCCGGCGATGCTCAGGGGTTACTCCTAGCTTTGCACTCAGGAATTACTCCTGGCGGTGCTTGGGGGACCATATGGGATGCCAGGGATCGAACCTGGGTTGGCCGTGTACAAGGCAAACGCCCTACCTGCTGTGTTATCGCTCTGGTCCCAGATGCAAGATATCTCAACCCTTGGACTGGAGCAATAGCACAGCGGGTAGAGCGTTTGCCTTGCACGCTGCCAACCCGGGTTTGATTCCCAGCATCCCATATGGTCCCCCAAGCACCACCAGAAATGATTCCTGAGTGCAGAGCCAGGAGAAACCCCTGAGCATCGCTGAACATGACCCAAAAAAGAAAAAAAAAAAGATATCTTAACCCCTATACTATCTTTTCAGTCTATTATTGTTATTATTACAACTTTGGTTTTTGGATCATCCATTCAGTGATGTTCAGGAGTTACTCCTTAGTAATAACTTAGGTATGACTCCTGGTAATGCTCAGGGAATCGTATGATTTGCTGAGGATCGAATCCTCTGAGTGTTCTCTAGTGCCCTCAAGTTCAGTTTGCTTTCTTTGGGGGTTAAGGGGCACACCTGGTGATGCTTCTAGAACATGTGGTGTCAGGGAGTGGCCCTGGCCTTCCTCACATGCTTTTCATACCCTCATTATGTTGAACTGTAAAAACCAGCTCCCGGAAGAGAACAGTGCAGTCTCCTGCCCCCGCGCCTGGCTGTCCTCGCTGGGGCCCCTTGGAGGGGAGCGGGTTGAGCTTTCCTCCCCGCCCCGAGCAGGGCTCTGGCAGCCGAAGACCTCCAGGACCAGCCACCACCATGCTGAGACCACTTTCCGCACACATGAAGGTACTGGCAGAGGGACAAAGTCATGCGGGTTCCGGGGCCGAGATCTCCAAGCCTACTCGGATTTGGGCCGAGCATCCTCCACCCAGATCCTCCAAATTCCAGTAGGCGGGGGTCACACCCACCAACTGGCCCCCTGGTGCATTGTAATCCCATCAACGGCCAAGACTCAGAGACTATAAAAACCAGCTCCTGGAACCGTGCGGCCGCATTTGCGGCCACGCGACATCTTATTATGACATCTTATTATCTCATTCCTACTTTGGACAAACTTGCAGGCTATCGAATGTAGCCTGCCCACAGGGCAGAGTCTGGCAAACTCCCCGTGGCGTACCCAATATGCCAAATACCTGTGACAATGATGGGTCTCATTCTCCTAAAGAGCCTTGAATATAATCTCAGGGCTAGGATGAAGGAGACGTCACTGGGGCCTGCTCGAGGCAATCGACGAATAACAGGATGATTTGTGATTTGTGATTTGTGATTATGTTAAGTGAACTCATTCAGAAGGAGAACGGCAGACATCAGAGGATCTTGTAATTTTGTAATCCAAATCCTTGGATCTGGGTTACAAAACTGAGAATATCAAGAAGTAGGGGTTATTAATTTTGCTTGGATAAAGGCAAAATGGATTCTGCTTGATTATTTTCTTGGCCACACCCAGTGATGCTCTAGTCTTACTCCTGGCTCTGCACTCAAGAATCATTCCTGACCAGCTCGGGGGAGCATACGAGATGCCGGAGATCGAACCCAGGTCGGCTGCAGGAAACCCACTGTATTATCTTCCAAAACGAATTTCTGGTTTTCACTACTGTATTATCTCCAATATTTTTTTCATGAAAACACTTCAGGTCAGATAAAACACAGACAAGTAAGTAATTTTTTCAATAAATTACTCAGGAGTGACATTTTAGAAAGTTCTTGTGATTGTATCTTTGTTAAACTGTTTATCTTCCTTGTCCAGAAGTCCATTTTAAAAAGGACATGAAATTTTCAAAAAATTAAGCATTTTCACTTATTAAGCTTTATGTCTTCTAGAGCTATACCTTTTGGTACTATAAACTAAAATCTAACAAATCTAAGAATAACATTCCTGCTTCTCATCTCTGAAATAGTGCCTATCTAAGACCACTGAGCGGTACATACTGAAGGATGTACCGCTTTGTACATCTGAAGTCAGAGAATGGCACAGAATCATTATTGCTAAAAGCATCTTAGAGAATGGTTCACCAAGAGGGAGGCACATCAACACATGAGAAGCCATGCACAAGGGGGCCAGAGCCATTTATTTGACTTGGTGAAAACACACATCTTTGCTGCATGCCCAAACCAATCCAGCCAGAGAACAATCAATGGAAGAAGGAAATTAAATTGAACTTTACCTGTTCTCTAGTGAACCAGCGGGCATCCTCTATTTCATTCTTGTCAACTTTAATTTCTGTAGACACTGCCACAGCTAAGCAACCAATCATTAGGGAGGAAGGCATTGGCCACGGTTGACAAGAGACGTACTGAACATGGCCAACTTTGACTCCACTTTCCTCTTCTACTTCTCTCCGAACAGCATCTTCGATTGTCTCTCCTAATCAAACGGAGCACAAGAACAAGCAGCCAATGAATGCGGGCTGCACATTTTGTGCTCCGAGGGGGTTCAAATACTTGGAAATCACTTTGGACAGAAACCCAATTCGAAAAACCAGGAAGCAGAAACCTAAACTAGATTAGAATCCAAGAAAACATTCTTTAAAAGTTTTTTTAAAGATATACAAAATAAAAAAATGCAACGAAACTTCATTTCTTAAGGGTCCAAATTTGTTGGTTGTATTAAAACAATGTTATCTACAACATTCAGAATTACTGACTAAACACAATATAAACAAATATAATCTCTCCTATGTCTCACCATCAAACAGTTATGATTTATCATTACATGGCTTTACCAACAGCCTTTTTGTTTAAACTGAAACTTTTCTCCTGTCAAAGAATGTAGGTGATTACTTTTCTAAAAAGTTAAATATCACATAATACCAAATTTTTAAACCTTGCAAGATGAATATTTTCTTTCTAAATAATTGGTTTCCTTTAGAAGACCTGACTTAGCTATGACAAAATAATAACAAGTGCACTTTATATTTCTGATTTGTTGGAAAGGAGAACTAGGACGGTGGGTATAGTTGTAATCTAAGTTTGCCCAGAAATCTGGAAATGCTTTCTATTTAAGTATAGCTCTTGTTTCAAATACAATGGCAAGTTTCCTACATAAAAATGAACATGTTCATTAAAAACCCATATAAAATGAAAAGATGTCAGAGATGGCCTATTTGCAGGACAGTAAGATGAGCACATAATAAGTTATCAATACGTGAAGGATAAATGATCAGAATGGAACTACACAAAGGACATGAACGTATAGATTCAGGGGAAAAGAAAACAGGATGTCTGATGTACAATGAAAGGGAAGCTCAAGTGCCAGGAAAATGAAAATAAAAACTACAATGCCAGTCCATAGACATCAGAAAAGCAAGTTACAGATTCTGAAACATCTGCTGGTGAAGTCGGTGAGTAGGTGAGCATTTCATGCACTTCTAGAGGACAGGTAAACTGCAGAAAAATTCCAAAAGCAACCTGGGAATACCCACAAAGAGCTTTCTCCTTTCTCGTATGTGGGTTCTAGAGAACATATCCAGAGGTTCACAGGTACAAAACATTAACTGCAGTTTGTAATAACAAGGACACTGAAACAAGTGAAACATCATTTAGCACAAATGACTGAAAAACTGGAGAACACTCATTAATGGAACCCTACTCAGCTTTTGAAAAAATAGCTAGAGCGTGACAGGCAGTATGATGACTTAGAGCACTGACTCAGAAATCCAATCACCGTTCCTCCATCACATTGTAGCTGCTTCACCTGTGCAAGTTCCTCAGCCCCTGAACCTTAGTGCCCCATCTGTAAAATGGCTTCTCTCACTACTACCGACTCATAGGGTTGTATGAGAAACCATCTGATTTAATAAATGTGAGATTTCAGAGCAGAGAGTGAGTACCCATATGCATGCTCATGTCTACTATCATCCATTAATGCAGACCAATGCTGGAAGATGAAATTAAACATGAAATATATTATACCATTTCACAAATATATTGAGTTTCTACTGCGAAGCACTGCCTTTAAGAGTTTGGTATAAGTATAATTAATAGCCTGTGTCCTTATTGAGCTTAATTCTTTTGGTTACAGAAAGAGAAATGAGTAAATGCATAGGCACATACCAAACAAAGTTGGTGAATGATATGGGGAAATGTTTGGCAGGATGACATCTGGGGATATGGGAAATTTGGGGATATGGGGCCAATGTATTTGGGACAATCAAGGAGGGTTTCTTTGAAAAGGTGACAGATGAATCCAGTACAGAGGAAAGTGAAGGCATAAAACACATTGGTAAGATCAGTGTATGAAAGATATACTACATTTTTTGTTTTAAACACAAAACTGGGTCAGAGAGATAACACAGCTAGTAAGACATACACCTTGCTGGCAGCTGATCTGGGTTCTATCTTTGGTACTGTATATGGTCAGTTACACCACTGGGAATGACTCCTGCGCACAGAGTCAAGCACAGCTAGATGTGGCCCCCAAACAAATCCCCACAAAATCATGTGACTTATCAAAATAAAAATAATAATTCATATAACAATTTAATAATAATATAATTTAAAATCCACAAAAGATCCTAAAACTTCCCAGTTCTGTAACATGATAACTTAGCAGAGATTGTTTTCAAATTCTGCCTGAATTTTTAAATCAATTTATAGGAAATAAAATTTGCTATGTGTTAGATTACTTGCCAAATACAAGTTGGAAACTGTAAGTAAAATAAAAATTATTTATAAATAGAGCTCAAAAGGGCTTACCAGGTTCAATAAATCCAGCAAGACAAGTAAACATGCCTGGGGGAAATCTTTTCTGCCTGCCTAAAAGGCATTTGGTCCCATCTGGATGAATAACTTGCATGATAACTACTGGATCTGTTAAAATAAATCAGATGCATAAATGACATGAAAAAAAAAATCTAAGGTATTGTGTAATGTCTAGCAGAGAGAGTCCCAAATTAGTTTATCTTAGTGCTAGTTTGACTAGCACTAGTTCCCATTTTAGAAAAAAAGAATTGTTCAGTGCTCCTCTAGAAATCTTCCTTAAGAAAAACAACCGGAAAGTGCCCCCCGCATCACTGTACCAAAGGTCACTACCACCCCCTTTGGCTCATTCCAATGAGTCCTGGAGGAAAGTCTGGCTCTTGCAGATTAATAAAAGAGCACAACACCTGTAACAGCAAGACTCTGGCTGAATTACAAGGCATTATTTCTTCCTGTCTACAGCTGATGAAGAAGTACTTTGGGAAAACTTCCCAGAATACAGGCAGTGAGTTAAAAGAACTCTTATTCTTTCTCTTCTCAACTTCATAGCAACATTTACTGTGCATTTGTGGTATACTGCACATATTTTAAAAAATTCTGCCTTTTGGGGGGCCACACCAGACTATGCTCAGGGGTCACTCCTGACTCTGCACTCAGGAATCACTCCTGAAGTAGGTTAGCCCTGTGTAAGGCAAGTCAGTGTCTTAGCTCCAGTCCCAGAGGGATCACCTTTTCAGGAGTGTTCAGGGACACTGCTGCGGACTAGGTAAAGACGGACAGGATGGGTCGTTTCGGGCCTCTCGACCTGCCCTGGAAGGGTGGGGTCCTGCAGCCACTCTATTTCTGCTCCTCCTCCTGGAAGCATCTCCCCTAGAGAAAGTCCATTACTAAGATGTTTGTCCCAATAGACGAAGGCCCTTGGATATGTGAAAGTTCAGCTCAGACAGCTTGGTAATTAGGCATTTCCCAAAGAATACTTGCTTCTTTTTTTGATGATTACTGGTTCTAAGCAATGACTACCATGCATGGAGGGCAGTTGGGACGCTTGGTCCACAAGGTTGTTAGGACCCTGACCCCATGCTTTTACTCTCTCTCTCTTTTTTTTTTTTTTAAAGGGACATTCCTAGAGGTTCTCAGGGAACCACATGGAATGCGGGGATCGAACCCTAGTCTGCTGCATGCAAGACAAGCACCCTACCTGCTGCACTATTGCTCTGGCCTCTTCAGGTACATTTTTTTAACAAGTAAACTTTTAAGGGAAGATTTCCCCTCTCCCACAGACACAAGTGTAGCGACTTCTCCACAGACAGTGAAGCATGAGTGACATGCAAAAGGCTCCTGAGAACCAACCAGATGTAAGTCATATTTCGCACTTCCAGGGGTTCTCCCCGGGGACACAGGCATTCTCTTTTCACCCGGGATTAAGAATTAGCAGAATGGACGCCCACACTCACAGCACGCTGGCGGCACCAAGGGGAGCGGGCAGCCACAGCAATGAGATAAGGAGAGGCGGGTGCAGAGGCACTGCCCTGGTGCTGGTGCCTCCATCAGGCTCCGACTGGTGGGGCTTGAGACCATACGGGGCTGGCTTACCAACTCGTGGGTACGAGGTATTGTGGACACCCTGCAGACTTGGGCAGTCCTTCCTCAGGCACACTCTTTTATAGCCTCCTTCTTCAATTCTCGTGGCACTTCCACAGGTGGGGCAATACTTGTATCGACTGTGCCATGCAAGAACGGATCTTGCTTGAGCCACAACCCCTTAAAGAGAATTGCATGAGGTGTTCACACTGTTACAAACTGTCAAAGAGGAAATAAAGAAGTAAAATGCCCTTACATCAATGCAAAAGACACTAGGTTTGGAATGCTGCACGGTCTCCATGTTTCAGTGTTTGTATTTTTTTGTGTGTGGTACTTCAAAAGCAAAAGACTGAATTTTACAGAGTACAAATAAAACTATTTGTTATTATAAATACTTCTAATTTATAATAACAAAATATAGCTCAAAAAAGAAAAATGCACTTCTCATTCATCTTGTGCACTGTATTAGTTGGAACTGATACCGCATGCGATTTTTGAATTTTAAATATACATTTAATAGTACATTAAATAAAACATGTCTAGTACATGTAAAATAGTACATGTACATAAAACATACAACAGTGAAATTTATAAAAATACACTGCAGAAGCAGTTAGATCCTAACTTAGACCTGGACTCTAGGAAACATTAGTAGAACACTACAGAAATGTTTCGCACATTGCTGAGGAAGTCACTGTGGTCTCCTGTCTCACGGAGCAAATGTACAGTGTGACAAAGACTACATTTATATCTGTGGCAAACTTTATCTTCCAAAAAAGGTCTAATGGTATAAGCCTTAAACTATATACATTCTAGTTATAACCTCTAGCTGCTGGTACTTCAATAAATGATTTTAGTGGGGTGACTAGACAGAAATGCTACATGTTAAATGCCTAAAAATCTTTATAGTAAGATGCATTCTTTTCGTCACTGATTTTTCAGTTTGTTTTTATTCTGGGACCATACCTGGGACTTACTCCTGGCTCTGTGCTGAGAGATCACTCTTGGTGGGGCTTGGGGGAACAAATTTGGGTCAGCTATGTAGAAGGCAAGCACCTTCCCGCTGTACTATCTCTCTACTACCTCTACGGATGTTTAAAGTGTGTAAGAATCATAAAGAACAATAGCAGTATTTTAAATGAGAAAAAATGAGAATAATAATAAAAAAATTAAAAATAAGCCATTAAAATTTAATGAGCCACAGGAACACTGTTTGCCTGCAACATTAACTGGCAGTATATACTGTAAACTGAGGTGTGTTATTTCAGCACTTTACAGGAAGAAACACTAGGGACGTGGGAAATAAATCCGCACATTGGGCACTTGCCTTGTACATGGCCAACTGGAGTGATCCCTGAATGCAGATCCAAGAGAAAGTTCTTAGAGTGGCTGGATATGGTCCCCCAGAGTGAAAAATCTAACATAAATTTAGAGAGATGGAGGCATGATTCTGAACCTCTCTTGCCTGCCTCAACTTTTCCCCAAATTAAGCACATCTGCCATCATGTTCAGTATATGAAAAGGACCAATAATTACTCACTGAAGAATCAAAAAAAAAAAAAAAGAAAGAAAGAAAACCAGCATGCATGAAAGTAAATTTCACAGAAATTAATCTATGCTGATTAAAACTGCTATAACTGCCCAGAATCATCAGGTAGAGTAAGAACTAAAAGTTGAGTTCCCAATGGAGACGGCCTAATCTCAGTGCATATGGGAAAAGGCAATTTTCTAGAGGCTGAAGACACATAAAACTCCAATCCAGTTCCCAAAATCAATTACCCACACAAGTGAACAATGTTCACCTCTTACCCGCTTCTTTGTCTTTCAGCTGCAGAAGGGCTGGCATTGGAGGATGAAGAAAATAACAATTTTCATGCCTTTGCTTAAATTCTTCAGCAGCAACAGGATCTATAGCCAGAGCAAACCAAGCAACCAGCCCATCTTCTTCTTCTCGTGGAACTTCCCCAGTAGAGTTAAAGAACTCTTTTTTCATTTCAAGTTCAACTCCAAGGAAAATCAAGGTAATGTTCTCGGGATGCGTCAAATAATCCTTTATATCGGTGTAGTTTAGCTGGCAAAGTCTGACTTCTGGCTGTTGGAAACTTTCCTTATTGCCACCTAGGGTAACCAAGGGGCTTAAATCTGAGAAAAGGATATAAACTGTAGTCGGATGGCTTTCTTTAGCTAGTAGCCAGTCAGAATCAGTTCTTTTTTCACTTTTCCGGTCCAGCAGTGTCCTGCTAAAATAATTTTCACATTCTTCCACATCACTGGTTAAGAACCATGGCTTCTTTCCACCTTTGGCATTAGCTAGTAAGTTAGCGATATGCTTGTAACCCCAAAATTTAGCAATGTCTAGTGCAGTCTGTTTTGATTTATTGACAATGGACCGGTCACACCTACAGGTAAAACAGATAAAATAGGACATAAGCATTCTCTTCAGAATTTACTAAGATATTCGGAGGTGTACATGATAACTTTCTACACTAGACTGATAAATATTTTTTCTCAGGAAATAATTTAGTAAATTATTAACTATGTAAATAAAGGTTAGAAGAAATCATAAATACTGAAAGGTTTTAGAATGGAGATTTAAAATTTCTGAACTTAAAAAATTGTGGAAAGGAGAGATTTTATGGCAGATAGGCTGCTTGCCTTATGTGCACCTGACCTAGGTTCAATCTTCAGCACCTGCAAGTTCTGGCCTATGTGGAAAACAGGGCAGAGATATCTCAAAAAATGAAAACTAGAGACTGCATATGACCCAGAGATTCCATTTCTTGGTATCTACCCCCCAAGTGATATATGCCTGCTTATATTCCCCGCAGCAACAGCCAGGGAAAAGAAACAATCTAAATTTCCAATGACAAATAGGTGAAGTTGTATATATACACAGTGATATATTATGCAACCACAAAAAAATCTTGCTGTTTGTTTTAAGCTGGATGGAGATGCAAGACATCATGTTCAGTGAAATGATAGTAGAGCAAATAAGAGTTGACCTCACATATATGTTGATTACTGTAAGCACTGTCTGTAAGCACTGTCCTCCCCCTGTTCATCGATTTGCTTTGGCGGGTACCAGTAACATTTCCACTCTGAGACTTGTTGTTACTGTTTTTGGCATATCGAATACTCCAAAGGGAGCTTGCCAGGCCCTGCCGTGTGGGCAGGATACTCTCGGTAGCTTGCGGGGCTCTCTGAGACGAATGCTAAAATGGAACCTGGGTTGGCTGCGTGCAAGACAAACACCCTACCCGCTGTGCAATCACTCCAGCCCGAGAAGGAAGAGACAGGAGGCAAATGCACCGAGGTCTTTCCTTCAAAACACAGTAATACTATCTCATGATTTGATTACTTCCCAAAGACTCATCCATCTCCAAAGGTATCACACATAATATATGGTATGAGGACTAAGCCTATGACTTTTAGGGAGACCACAAATAAACTGTTCAAAGGGCAGCCACATTTTACATCTTGACTACTATAGCAAATAAATTGTCTTCTTAAAGTGTTGGGTAACATTGCTTTGTCCTTCAAGAAGCTTAGGTTTTATCTGGTTACACCCATCAATCTGGTTACACCCACCACGGTGCTCCAGAGGCACTTCCACTTCCATTGTGTTTACATGTAAACATGTAAACAGTCTTCCCTATGCTCTCCTTCCCACCCAGTTAATCAGCTTTCCCCTTAATCAGACTTTGTTAATTTGTAAGATCAGTTTCCCAGAAATCTATGATTTTATATGTATGAGTGAAATATTGCCTTTTTCCTCTCCTTATGCCTTATGAACAATTTACTTTAAGGTAATATCCTTTTTGTATAGATACAGGAAGACCGTTAACATTATGCTTTGTAACTTAGGATTTGATTGGCCTTGAATATTCACTCCCGGGCATCTTTCTCAACTTAAGCCTCAGTTGCCCTTAGTTCCTAACACCCCAAAAGCAGGGTCCTGACGAGGGACTGAATGGACCCAGGGCAAGCAGTGAGCTACCCTGGCAGCGAAATGGGCCAGGCCAAGGTGCCACGATTCTTAACTATAAGTTAAGAGTTTGATCATAGACAAATGCTGTCATGATCCAAAGGTAACGACAAGACTAGGATCCTGCTAGGGGTGGGAAAGACTATCTGGCCTGAGCACTGTAGTCCGAGATCGAGATGGCCCTAGGAGAGCAATTCTATAAGTTTAAGATATTTCTTACTGTATCCATACAAAATGATTTATATTATATTCTTATATGCTTGTCAGACAAGGAGAGGAGAGGTACGCCCATGGGATTCTGCTCTAGGGTGGGTCCTCCTGCTGAGGAAGGATCTGTCCTAGGAGTGGTCTTCCCTGAGGCTAAGATTTCTACCCCTGTTGATCTCCACCCCTATTGATTGTGACCACACCTATGTAATTGTTCCCCCAATTCCTCATAGAGGATTTAACTGTACTCTAGGAGTGGGCTGGGGGCAGAAGGAAGAAGAGAGTTCAGAGAGGATCAGAAGGAAGAGGAGGATGAAGGGGGATGGAAAAGGAGAATGAAGTAGCATGGGAGCAGAGACAGAAGAAGAGACGAGGAGAAACAGAGAGAGACGGGAGCAGAGAGAGAGAAGGAGAGAGGGAGCAGAGACAGATGAGGAGAGAAACAGAATAAACTACGACTAATACCAACCAGCCTGGCCCTCGTTCCTTCCTCCACCTGACCATCGCCATCAACCTCTCCCGGGTGGGAGAAGGGTGAGACTACCGAACGCGGGCGGCGGGAGAGATAGAGTCACTGCCGCTGTGGGTGCCAAGCCCCCCTTGTGTGAGTTACACATTAAAGCACTATATATATATCCATATCCATCAACAACAGAACACAGAGTACATATTTATCTTTTTTGTCTTTCATTTTTTTCCTTAACTAGTAAGATCTCAGCTCTGGATTGAAACAAAGATGGAGGTCCAAAGGATTGTGGTGGAAAGAGATACTGGTACACTGATGCGAGCTGAAGTGTGCTAATATATTTGAGGAGGTATTCCTCAAACTGTATTCCTAGAACACACAGGGTATTGTAAACCAACATAACGCAATTCAAAAATAGAGGATCATAAGAAAAAAACTTCAGTTTCACTTTTTTGTTGTTCATTACAGGGAAACAAAATAAGTGAACAGTCTGAGAATACCAAGAGGCATGTGAGTGGGTTGGCGGTAATAATGAGATGGACTTGAAGTAACCTAAGGACACTGGTGAAAGGTCCTGGACGGGGTGGTGAAGAGATGTGGTTGACCAGGTGCCTCAAAACGAGCCACATAAACACAACTGTCAATGAGAGTAATCACGCAAGCCAAATTATACTTATCACATTTGAAAAATAAACATTTTTAAAGTGTAAAAGTCAATGAATACTATATTTTTACATAACAAAACTAATAAAGAAGTTGTTTACAAGTTCAATGATGAATAATACAAGAAAATAAAAAATACAAAAATAAATAATACAAGAATATACAAAAATAAAAATAAAGAAAATACAAGAAAAAATTTGAACTTTTAACCCATAAGTGAAACCACCCACCACTCAGGAGGCAGTGGAAAATTTTACCCTTTCTCAAGAAGAAACTGAACAACATCTGGATGCCCGTTCCTTGCAGCATACATTAAAGCTGTCCAACCATTTTCAGATGTTTCATTGAGAACAGATGGCGAATGGCTGCAGATCACTGTTAACCTGGCAACATCACCTTCTGCAGCTGAAGAGTGAAACTGGGAAATCACTTCTTGAGTTGGACTTCTTTTTATAGAAGACATTCTTCCTTTAAAAAAGTGAACAACAAAAACAGTTACTTGCAATTGTTTTGTAGATCACTGGTGGGAACATTTCATTAGTGTAACAGAATTGGAGTAATAGTTATGGTTTCTAAAGCAGCACTCTCTTCTAAAGTGAGTTGTCAACAATCATCACACTGCATACCTCAGGCTTGAGAAGTTTAAAAGATAATGTAACTCAACAGAAGGTTCAGGGAAATAATGCATGATCAACTCTGGTATTAGAAATGAGGGAGTCACGTCCTTGACAGGGGAAATAAGTGACAGGGACAAAGAGGAAGGAGCATTTGAGGTAGACCAGAAGAACATAAAGGTCCCGGGGCAAGTAGGAGCTAAAGGTTATTGGTAGATAGATTGGTAGTTATTCTCTTTCCTCTGCAAGTACTAGAAAAAGGCTGCTCCCCTCTGTTCCTACATAGCGTTCAAAAGCTGTCTACCATTACATGAAATCTATTTGTCTTTGCACAATTCAACAACTGACATGAAAACAGACCAATATTAAAGGTGTTAAGGTGCTTGCCTAGCATGGCTGACTCATACCCATACTGGATATGGTCCCTAGCACAGAGCCAGAAGTAATCCCTGAGCACTGACACGAGTGGCCGCCTAACCAAAATCAAAAAGAAAAGATTTGACTTTCTAACTGGGTTTCCACGGTTTCTAAGCTATACTTAGGCTAATAGGAAGAAAAATTACAGCACAAGTTTTCTGAGAATTGTTTCTGATGCAGAATTTGGCTGATCAGGTAGAAGAGCATAAACACAATTTAAGAAAAAGTGGGCTTAAGAGAGTATAACTTTGAATTTTGTGCCTGTGTGCTTTCTGCTATCTATGCATCCAAGTATGCATATAAACATATTCACAGGAATGAAAACATGTGAGCAAAAACCTAAGGTGGAGGGCTTGCTTAAAATTTTGAATGAGAAGAGTGACTTCTATACCAAGAAAAACTTTTTTCTCTTCGAGTTGCTCTGGAATTTAACTTCCTATTTTCATCCTGAGATTTTTACATGCGTTGCAAAAACCTGAGTAACACCAGCCACAGCTTTTCAAGGTGTTGTTTTGATGCCCGACTATTATGATCCCCTTTTCGAAGAGAACTGGCTTTTCCCTCATCGTGTATTCCTTCGCATCAAGTGACACTGGCCTTCTCGTTAGGACTCCTTCAAGCACCCTTTTCTCACTCCTCCTGGTCCCACGGAATTCCACCCTAGTGATTGCAACACCGTCCTGTCCTCCAAAGCTGCATCCCACGCCTACCTCAGGGCAAAGTTCAGCACCCGGGAGCGGGGGCGGGGGCGGGGGTGGGGGGGGGCGGAGCGGGCAAGTGTCTCTTTTCCCTCGAGCAACAGGCAGAAAAGTCGCCAGAAACAGGACCACGGCTCATTTCCCAGGCCTGAGGCCCTGGGTCCTCCTCCCGGCAGGACGGAGGCGGGAGGGTGGCGCGGGATGAACGCGGCCCCAGGTTCCAAGGGCTGCATCGCTGCTGGCGTTACGCCTCCGCTTTCGCCACGCACTGTCACGCCTGAGCTGGGCCCGCGACGCGCCCAGGTCATGCGTGCCCAGGGAGCCGGTGCCGGGCAATCACCTGGGGATGAACAAACGCCGCCCCCCCTGGGCACCAAGGTCAGGCAGACAGGGTCGGGGGAGGCCGGGCCCGGCTGTGTCTCGGCTCTCCGGGGTCCCGTCTAGCGAGGACTGACCCCGAGGCACAGCCTGCCCGCGTGCCTCCACGGCCGGGCTGGGAGGACGCCGGGCGCGCCCGCCGCGCACCCACAGCCACCCGCCACCCGCGAGGCCACCGCCGCCGCCGCAGCCCAAACCCGCGGGTGCCGGCCACGAACCCGCGAAGCGCAGCGCGGCCCGTACCTGCTCTCGCCCGCGTCGCCGCGACCCCGACTTCCGGCCCGGTCCGGCCCGCGCGCGGCATCCTGGGAGATGTAGTCCGGCGGCGCGCGTGGCTCCGGGGCGTCGCGGACCGGGTCGGTGGCCCAAGCGGACCCCCTGCCGCGTGCAGAACGAAGTCGGAGCGAAAAGCTTAGTGTCCTGCTTATTATCCTTCTCGCCTCCCCTGCCCCAGCTCTAAACTCTGGGCCGGAACGTTGGGTCTCTCCCGGGACACACACACACACACACACCTGGAGCACTGGCGGGCCGAGCCTCGCCAGCACGTGACAGGCAGCACGCTGTGGGCCTCACAACCTCCCTCTGTTGTAGAAATGCAGAGTATGCTAAGGCTTCCTCGGTTAAGAGTCCTTTAAGGCAATGCCCTGCGGCTCCTCCTGGCTGCTGGCCCTTAGGTGCTTGAACACGCAAAGCCCCGCAGCTCTCCCCCGGGTGCTGGCCTGTAGGTGCCTGAACATGTCAAGTCCCTCGGCTTCGCCTGGGTGCTGATATTATAAATGCTTGAATGTGCAGAGCACTGATGACTACATGCAGCTGAGAGTTTGTGCCCCCAGGATGGCCACTGTTGCTGTTACTTAACTGTTTGTTTCTTGTACTTTCAGGCCTCCAAAGCCACAAGTTAGTAACTAGGAGATCAGGCCACTGGATGCTAGCCCTGGGTGGCTTGGCTTTGCTAACCTCCCTCCTGGACGCCATGACGCAGCCATTAGTCGCTTTCTGTCCAGCTTTAGTGCCTCGCGAGTCTGCTCTCACTGAGGCTGCGCGTGGTGTCAACATTGCAGTTGCTTTCTTGGCCTGCCTTTGTCCTCTCCTTGATAGCACAGGGATAGGGCGTCTGCCTTGCACGCAGCCAACATGGCCAACCCCAGTTGATTCCTCCGCCCCTCTGGAGAGCCTGGCAAGCTGAGAGTATCTCACCCACGGGGCAGAGCCTGGCAAGCTCCCCATGACGTATTCGATGTGCCAAACACAGTAACAACAAAGTCTCCAATGGAGACGTTACTGGGTCCGTTGGAGCAAATTGATGATCAATGGGAGGGCCTTTACCTTTACCCAATCAGAGAAATAGTCTTTATTTTCGTGATCTCACAGGAGACTGCAAATACTGCTCTGGTTCATTCATTTGAAATACCCCATCTTTGTGTTCAAACCTGTTAAATTGTTTAAAATAAAAATGCTCAGGTGTTAATCATCCAGCAAACAGTCTTTGTTTTTGAGTCTTCTCTCAACGCTTTGGGCCTTTTAGCGTAATTCCAGACCTCATATTTATTTATTAATAAATATTTAAAATAACCTTTTGGCATGGACTAATCTCAAATGTAAAGTGTTAAAAAGAAATCTAACTCCAATATCATTAGTGCAGTTAGAACTTAAGTCATTTCTAAGATCTAGCTGTAGTTCTATGGTGATCAGCATTCAACTTTATTGTTTTATAGTTTTTATTTATGTTTCCACAGTTGATCTGCTCAAATGAGCGCCCAAAACCTCTCCCCTATGGCATTTGGTTTTTCAAGGGATAAATTACTCTGGAATTCTCTTTTATCAAAGTTTATTTGTTAAAGAACAATTATTTCTCTACAGAATTTGGGTTTTTTTCAGATCGCACTCTTAGTGTTCATTCTTTTGGTATTTCCTGAGTTCTGGTTATAGCGATCACCGTCCTCCCGTTGTTCATCGATTTGTTCGAGTGGGCCCAGTAACGTCTCCATTGTGACAATTGTTACTGTGTTTGGCATATTGAATACCTCATGAGTAGCTTGCCAGGCTTTGCCGTACAGGCTAAATTCTTTTGGTAGCTTGCGGGGCTCTCTGAGAGGGGCGGAGGAATCTAACTGGGGTTGGCCATGTTGGCCACTTGTAAGGCAAATGCCCTACAGCTGTGCTATTGTACTAGCCCATAGTAAAATGGATCCTTGTTCTTTTTTCGGGGGGGGGTGGGGTGGGAATGGGGTGAGTTGTCATCTGTTCCTGTGTGAACATTAAGTAGAGATAGATGCTGTGAGACCCATATGTAGTGCCAGAGATTTGAATCAGGATAGAAACAATCAAGACGCAAGGCAAGTGCTTTCACTTCTGTCTTACCTCTGTGGCCTCTCTCTCTCTCTCTCTCTCTCTCTGTGTGTGTGTGTGTGTGTGTGTGTGCGCGCGCGCGCGCGCGCTCAGAGATTACTCCTGGCTCTATGCTCAGGGATTACTCTTGATTTTGTGCTCAGGAATCATTCCTGGTGCTTGGTGGACCCTGTAGAGTTCTGGGACATGCCCTGGATGGCCAACTTCAAGGCAAACACCTTACCCACTGTACTATCTCTTTGCCCCCCACCCCCAGTTTTATTATGAATGCAGCCAACATTGATAATATATAAACCCCAATTGAGCAGAGGGTGGAGAAGGGGAGAATCTTTTGGGGTCCTCTGTGTTTAGAAGTGTAAAGAGTCTTGAAATCAAGTTTTAAATGCACATATCTGAGATGTTATAAGCTTTCAGCATGCATTTAATTTTCTTCCTGTTTCCTGTTTTAATCATTCTAAACCCTTTAAGCTTTAAAAAGTATAGACATAGTGGAGTGATAAGTCTGTGGGTATGGTAAGCATACAGCTGACTCCTGTTCGATTCCCAGCACTGTGTCTGATTGCCCTCAAAACGAAAACAAAGAAACAAAAAGTGGGAACCTACACTTAATGCATTATGTGTCTATGTATATTAAATTCTTTAAAACTGACTCTTTCCTTAGATATTTTGAGTAGTTTTTGTCTTGCCATCTTTGTGTTATTCAATTATCAATTTTTAAGGAGGACTTCCTTAATTACTTGTTGCATAGTAGTTCTCTGATTTTTGACAATTCAGGTTCTTTGTTTGTTTGTTTTGGGCCACACTCAGCAGTGCTCAGAACTTTCTCCGATCTCTGTGCTCAGGAAGCATTTCTGGCTGGACTCAGGCACTATTAGGGGTGCTGAAGATTGACCTGGGTCAGCTATGTGCCAGGTAAAGGCTCTACTTACTGGATTATTGCCCTGACTGCAATTCTAGCATTCTTGTTTTATGTATTTCTTGTTTCTGATGTCTGTTGTTTTTCTCTAACGTAAGCTATACATGAGAAGGTTCTTATTGATCTAATTTGCTGCATTCCCAGAACCTGGATTTCCAACTAGCACATAGGAAACATTCAATATTTCTTCATGTTCCATAAATAGTTTGTTTCATATTAAGTAAAGTATTTTAAATATTGCTGCATGTCTTGGATATGAGAATTTCTTAAATAACATTAAGTAGAGATAGACCTGAATTTCTACAGTAATGTGCATTTGTGTGCAAGGAATGTAATTCAGAAAATAATACCTATTCCTTTTGAGGAGCTCATTGCTTGATGAAGCAAGATGATGATAATAGGTAGGAAACAAAGATAATATATTGTGGGTACCCAATCTAGTTTTCAGGGTGAAATGGGGACATGGGCCAGGCTGCCTACAGCTAAAGGATGTCTAGCCAATTGCACTGTGGAAAGAAAAAAAAAATCCTTCTTGATCAAAGCACTTAAGAGCTAGTAAGTGCATTGCCGTACAGATTTTTATTACTCTGTTAATGGCAGTTGGGAACTAGCATGGTCAGATGTCTAAGTCACGTGGAGTTAGGTTCTGGCACTTGGCCTTGGAAAAAGGAGGCCTCATGAAGTGCTGTAAGACTTGGCTGAGGACTTTGTTGGATCCAGAAAGAAGCCATGGTGGGGTCAGCCCTAGAAGCTTCAGGAATAAGTTGCTTACTACACTGAGTCTACTTGGAGTAAATGGAAAAGGTAGCTCAGAGGTTATCTTGAAGGCAGGTGTTGAAGGGCCAAGAACAGACAAAAGCTGTTTGTCAGAGGGCACTTTCCTTCCTTTCCAGGTCAGAACAAGATTCCCTCAAAGAGGAGATGCAAAGATAAAAGTAGGTTAGCAGTTGAGATTCTAAAGAGGTTATAGAATCTGCTGTTTTCAGATATGTCAGAGAAATATACCCTAAAATCTTGATATTTCATGCCCTGGTGGGCTGGCTTAGGCATTGCCAACAGCCTCCCATTCTGGTGGAGGACTTGGCTCCACTTTTGCAAACATATGTCCCCTCACTGAAACTGGCCAGTGAAGCACTTCAGAACTTCCGTGAAGTGTCCATCCAGAAATAATATTGATATCTAAATCTCTTCATTGATAACTACTTTCCCTTAAGCAATAGTGAGTCTCTTTGTTGCAATTCATGGTAATTTTGTCTAGCTTATAATTTTCAAAAGCAATTTTTAGAGCTTTTCAGTCTATGAACCTGACTATAGATATATAGATCAATCAGTCTATCTATCTATCTATCTATCTATCTATCTATCTATCTATGTATCTAGCCTACATATATGTAGATATATCTCTATATATTTTTTTCACTCAAAGACATAAATTTGGTTTCTGTCATTTATAAAGAATTCCTAAGCAGTTCATTCTTATTTACAAATAGTGTTTCCCTGTTTGCTCTGAGTCACTGCTTTATGACGCAAGAACGCAAGAACCATGGATGGTCTAAGAGGCAGGCTTGCATGTGCTCTATTCTGCCTGTGTACTCAAGTTAATTGATGCTGTAATTTAATCACTGAGCTGCTGCTCATGTTTCTTGTTTATGTCACTTAAATAAAAGACTTATTTTATTTTATTTATTTATTTTTGCTCCCCGTGACGTATTCGATATGCCAGACACAGTAACAACAAAGTCTCCAATGGAGACGTTATTGGGCCCGCTCGAGCAAATCGATGAACAACGGGAGGGCCTTTACCTTTTTTTTTGTACCATTTTTGCTGTTTCTGTTTCAAAATGCTAAGACCTATGAGGATTTAAACAGATTCCAAGCGTTGAAAAATGCCCTGAGAATTGATTGCAGCATGCCATCCGTCAGATTTTGTATTCAGTTTTAGTTTATTTTTTGAAGCTCTGAGATGAAAAAAAATCTGAATTTAATATCCTGCAACAAGTTTTTCCATCATCTTGTGAAAGTCCAAAGGAATGCTGCTA